GTGGAATGGAAAAAGAGAACCTTTGTATACCCTTGTTGGGAATATAAATTAGTACAGCTATTTGAGCAGTATGGCGGCTTCTCAAAAAATTAAAAACAGAACTATCATGTGATCCCACAATCCCACTACCGAGTATATAGCCAAAGGATATGAAATCAGTATGTTGAAGAGATATCTGTACTACCATGTTCACTGCAGCATTATTCACAATAGCCAAGATATGAAATCAACCTAAGTATCCATCAATGGATGAATAAAGAAAATGTGTTATATATACACAATGGAATACTATTCAGCCTTAAAAAATTCTGTCATTTGTGACAATGTGGATTAACCTGGAGGACATTGTGTTAAATGAAAAAAGCCAGAGACAGAGACAAATACTGCATGATCTCATTTATACTTGATGTGTAAAAAGGTCAAATTAATAGAAACAGAAGTTAAATGGCAGTTAACAGTAGCTAGGGGCTAGGATTGGGGAGATGTTCAAAAGATATAAAATTTCAGTTAGATAAGAGGAATAAGTTGAAGAGATCTATTGTACATCATACTGACTGCAGTTAATAACAATATACTGTATTCCTAAAAATTGCTGAGAGTAGGTTTTCAGTGTTCTCACCACACACATGCAAAAAGTATGTGAGGTAGTACAAATGTTAAATAGCTTGATTTAGCCATTCCATATGTGTTCATATATCAAAACAGTATGTTATACACCACAAAGATATACAATTTTTACTTGTCAATTAGAGCAAATATATAAATAAGATCCAAATAGAAGGAGAAAAGGGATAGACTACCTTTAAATGTCATAAGTTTTTCTCTAGAGTCCAAAGAAGTGATAGGGAATAGTGATACAGCCAAAACAATTCCAGGGAAGTTGAGAGAAGAACAGAGAGAGGTTAAAGACTGAATCATGAGGCTTTGGTCATTCATAAGCTATCAATAAATGAGATGATTATTGTTATTTTTGATGGAGTTGTCAGTAAATAGCACTCACTCCCCAGGCAGTGAAAATTGTTAGGCATTACAAAGTTGAGGAGCTATCTCTGACTTGGGGCAGCCCAATCAAGTTGCTCTCATAGGTGTGTTTCCTTGTTGCTTTGTTTTATTTTTTAACCTGGTGATATGAATTATAGGGATGGAGCATTTGCTCCTTTGTGCTGACAATCCTGGGATAGTCCCTCCCTACATCTCTACTCTGCCCTGGTATAAAAGTTGAAGGGTGAAAATCTTGGCTTACTAGTGTTTATTCAATCAATTCTATATCCTATTTAAAGAGGCAGCAGTACAAGATAAAACTCATTGGAAGCAAGCACACAGTCTCTGGACTGACAATATATAAAATACATTGTTGGACATCAAGGTCTGATAATAAAAAGAAAAATGTATAAAATACATAGAATTGAGCCCCTTACAGTATCAATGATCATATCTCACTTTCGTCTTAGTGAGAAGGCAGAAGAAATTTTGATAACTAGGCATGAACATCTGGAATCTTATACAAGTGAAAATAGTTTTCCTGTTTCTATGCAATTTTTTAATAGTAGCACACACAACAAAATCTACTTCCTAAGGCTATACCTTATATAAGATAGAATGTTCAATTGACTCACCTATGCATTATCTAAGTCTCATAATTCAGTTTTTCTCTTTTCTCACATCCAATTTCAACCCATGTTTCTCATTTTCCTCCCCATCATCTTTTTTTGGCTATTTAAAAGACAGGAGTCCCTGGACCTAGTACCTAATCTTTAACTGAGTACTTAATCCTCGTTTCACAAGTCATTTGTAGAAAGTATTTTTATTTCCATAATGATATTTGATGCCAAAGTTATGTTCCTTGGATACCTCTACTAGCCATCTTTTCGATCAGGGATGTGAAATAATTTTAATATAAACTAAAACAATATGTACTTAAAAATAAATCTTTGGGATGGGAGAATGAATAACAAATTTCAAAATAAAAAAATGTTTTTAACTGTAAAATTTGGGATTTCCTTTTGTTCTCTTTAATCACAATAAGCTTGACTGAACTATCTCACAAAGGCCTCTAGAACACTAATTCAGCAGATGTGAGGTGCAGGATTGATCCTAACATTATCAAAGAGAATTTAAAGTGTGTTAGAACAATTAGGTGGCAAGAGGACATGAATGTGAATACATAATAACCGTAATTATTATTTTACTCGGCCTCTAGAACACTAATTCAGCAGATGTGAGGTGCAGGATTGATCCTAACATTATCAAAGAGAATTTAAAGTGTGTTAGCACAATTAGGTGGCAAGAGGACATGAATGTGAATACATAATAACCGTAATTATTATTTTACTCCACTTGTCAATCTCAAAAATAAGCGAAGGTGATTTCTAGGCTATTCTATAAACCAGTATCACAAGACCTACCTCCTCACAAACTGCAGAAAAGCGGTTGAGGAACTGTACAGTGTGCACCACAAATTGGTTTAGAAATGCCACCGTTCTTTTCTGTTGAATAGCTGGCACCTGTGTTATGTAAAAACAAATATGACTCGTACAGGAGGAACTTAAACCGTGTAGTTCTTTTGATATTTGGACATAATAACGGGACATTTTGCTTTGTGATATTAATTTCCTGAAGGACGGAGAATAGCCTTTAACTTGTTTTCCTAAACTGTGTGTGTTGGGTGGGGGGCTGGGGAGGACAGGCGTCTAAAGATGACAGAGGCTGCATAAAAGTTTGAGAATAGGCTCTAGATTAACAAATACGAATTTTAGCTGGTAAAAGCAACACACATAAATACAAAAAACTTGGAAGCCGAATAAAAGAGGTAGGGTTAGAGGTCGCTTGTGTCGGCAGAGGGTCAACCTTGGGCAGGTTGGCAGGGACACCGGAAGCAAAGACTGGGAGAAGCACACCGTCTCCTTAATCAGCTGAGGAGGAACCTCTTTTCAAGGTGAACTGTGGAGCTCTCCCTCCTGAGTACTGCACAAGAGGGACCAGGTGCCAGAAACAGGGTGAGGCCTCGGGACGTAGGGTCTCCCTGGGAACCGGACGTCCCTTCCCCATCCTCCTCCCCGGTCGCCGGAAGTTCAATTCCGTCTTTTACAAACCTTGGTCAGGTCTATGCCTGACCCCATGAGTGGAAGCCCGTCCTCATCCATCTCCTCAGCGGGCAGAGGACCCACAAACCCCTCCCAGGTAGGGCCCACCCAACCCGGTAATCGCGTCCCAACGCCTCCCTCAGTCCCCGCCTCCGGGGTGCTTCCCGCCGGAAGGAAACGCCTCCCCGCTCGCCAATCTCTCGGCGGCTCCTGCAGAGCCCGCCTCTTCGCTCGGCATTCTGGGATTGGTAGTTCTTGGTCCGGATTGTGCCGTCAGCCTGCGCGACGCCGGGTGGAGCAAGGTTGCAGTCCTAGTAGCAAAAGCTTAAAACGTCAGGAATTTTGTTAGTCGTGTCTGTTATATAAATAGCTGCGTAATTCGTTGAACAACAACAACAAAATTTTTGTACTACTAAGCGCCGGATACTTTGCTAGGCCTTGTTGGGAATAAAAAGATTGAATAAGATTGAGCCTTCTGCACTGGAGAGGCTGATGCTCTGAAGAGGGAGATAAGACCTGTTTCCAAATCTCCTTATAACATGAAATAAAATGTCAAATGTTCAAGGGGAGGCACAAACCTATGGAAGTGACAACCACTTAGATCATCAAAAAGGTGGAACAGTGACCTGGGATGAGCTTTGCATGTGGAATTTGAAGATCTTGGTTCAGATTTTGACTTTGCAGTTTATCAGCTCTGTGACCTAGGACGAATCACCTAGCCAAAAGTTTGAACCCCTCCTAAGTATGGAGCAAGATGCTCAGTACTGAAAAGAAAAGAAGAGAATAGTCTCTGCCTTCAAGAAAGAAATAGTTTATGCAGAGTTTAGCTGTGCAACATCTAGACAGACATGCAAACAAAATACTGTGAAAGTTGGGGGTGTGCAAACGGATACACACAAACACTCATGTACACATGGACATGCGCACCTACACAGATGGTACTATAGATAAAAGGTGCACCTAAGTCCTCTGAGAAAACCAGAAACGGTAGATTTTCAGCAGCTACTTAATATTAAGAGGGGTTAGGCAGACGATTTGGGGTGGACCTTTGTACAAACAAAGGTACAGAGGCACGAGGAATTATGGTATGTAGGCAAAAAGCAAACTGTTTGGTTTTCTTAAAGCAAAAAGTCTCAGAAATGGAGGATGGTAGGAAATGAGGTGGGAGAAGTAGACAGAAAATGCCCATTAAGGACCTTTTATGACAGAACTGATACCATAGTCCATGCTTCCCTAAGTGTGTTAAGTGTGTTCCATGGACCACTGGTATCAATTACTTGGAAGACGGTGGTGCTTCTTGAAATAAACATTCCAGAGATTAACCTCAAATAACCTGAATCAGGACTTTAGGGGGGAGGAGCCTAGGAATCTGCATTTTATCCAACCCCCACACCACCCAGGGTTATTCTGAACCCAAAGGTTTGAAAATTACTTCTATAGGTGGTGGGAACCATTAAAAAATTCTGAGCAGGGGAGTGACATAATCCAAATTTGTTAAAAAGTTACACAATGCCTGGCATGTAGATGTGTAATAAATATTGGAAATAGAAAAGTTAAAGGTAGTATTTGTACAAGTAAAAATAGGAGGTCAGAGCAAGGAAGGATATGATGAGGAATACTTTTAAATACATCTGCCCATGTTTCTGACTAGTTTTGTATCATTGAATACTTCATTGTTATCTTTCAACAAATATCTACTGAACACCTTTTATGTTCTAGATACTGTACTAGTGCCACACCTATAATTAACATAAACATTGTGACAGTTCTATGCAACTGTACTGATGTTTTTTTTTTTCACCTTGATAAAGACCATATGAGTTGGAATTTTTCCGTTAGACTATAAATTCCTTAAAGCAAGTATTATTTTTTAATGACTCCTCTATTAGTACTAGCTACTCTTCTTTTCAGTACAACTCATTAATAATTTTCATATGCAGTCTTGAAGGCTTACTATGATCCAGGCATGGTGCCTGGCATTGAAGAGCCATCCTTCTGTCCATCAATCCATCCAACAGATATTCCCTACTATGTACCAAGCACTGTTATATAAATCATGGATACTGAAGTGAATATTCAACAATTCTGCTCTCGTGAAGGTAAGTAGATAATAAACAGATAAACAGATACTAAGTTGCTCATAGTCCAGATTGGGAGACAGAAAAATGAAAAGAGAATAATAGTGTGATAAAGGCTAAAGAAGGCTGGTTGTTTAGCTCAGTTGGTTAGAATGCGGTGTTATAACACCAAGGTCAAGGGTTCTGATCCCCATACTATCCAGCCAACAAAAACAAAAAAGGCTAGGCTAAAGTATGCCCTGAAGAGGAGAACCTGAAGAGGTGGCTTTCTGGCAGAGCTGATGGTCTGAGCTGAGTTCTGAAGACATAAAAGTTAACAAGATGAAGAGGAATGAGGAGGGGTACTCTGCCTTGTTCACTATTAAGGCCCTAGCCTAGTGTCTGACCTATAGTAAAACCTTAATAAGTACCTGTTAAATGACACTGGGGCCTAATAGTTTGGATGTGTTGTCCCCCAAAACTCATGCAGAAATCTGATCCCCAAAGTGACAGTGTTGGAAGCTGTTTGAGTCATAGGGGTGGATCCCTCATGAATGGAATAATGCTCTCCCCAAGTGGGGGGATTAATGAGTGAGTTCTCACTCTATTAATTCCCAGAAGAGCAGGTTGTTTAAAAGACCCTGGCACCTCATCTCTCTCTCTCTTGCTTCCTCTCGCCATGTGATCTGCTTGTACCCACCGGCTGCTTGCTGCTTTCTGCCATGAGTAGAAGCAGCCTGAGGCCCATGCCAGATGCAGATGTCCCAGAATTGTAAGCCAAATAAACCTCTTTTCCTTACAGATTACCTAATCTCAGGTATTTCTGTTATAGCAACACAAAACCGACTAATACAGAGCCTAATGGCCCTTGTCTTCCACATCTTACTTGATCTTTCATGAGCTCTTACTTGATCTTTCTTACAGCTCTGGGTACTCACCTTATTAGCCTCCCTGAACTGACTCCCCAACTGATCAGAGTAGCCTTCTTCCCCAGTCACGTGAGGCTTCCAGCCAGAGGAAAAAGTAAAAAACCAAACAGTTACTTCATGGTTATGTTTAAATATAAGTAGCAGGCATTCACGTATATATAAATATGAGGGTACTTCAAAAAGTTCGTGGAAAAATATAATTAAAAGAGAATACAGGGCTGGCTAGTTAGCTCAGTTGGTTAGAGTGCAGCCTTATAACACCAAGGTCACAGATTCAGATTCCCTTACTGGCCAGCCACCAAAATAAAAAAATAAAAAATAATTTAAAAAGGGAGAATACAAATCTTTCCATGAACTTTTTGAGGATCTCGTGTATATATAAATATGTAACATATATGGTTCTATATATGTAGTATGCAACTATAGAAACATGAACTTGTCTTGGCCAATTGACAAAAAAATTTTTTTAAGTGGTTTGGTTTCTTAAAAGACAAATACTATGCAGAAGAAGTGATTTCTAGTCAACAAAAAGAAGAACGGCAGTCTCTGTCCGTCCTAGGATCCTTGATAATTAATGTTCATCGGTCATCCATAGTTCTTGACTCAGTGCCACTTACATTTTAATAACTGAATTTCCAGGACTATTAAAAACAATCTATAGCTAGAAGTCTCGGCCAACTGTCAGAATGCTAGCTTCAAAGGGCAGAGACTATATCTGCCACCTGCATATATCCACTCAATAAAAAAATCCTAATAATTTTTCAGTAGTTATTGTTTTCATAGCAGATTACTAGAAAACTGCTAGTTTTATCACAGGTAAGTTCTTAGGTGAGGCAAATGATGAAAAGTAAGCTCCCATTTTTATTTTGGGTTCCTCCCTGCTCTGCTTCAGGATAGAATAGAGAGGAAAGGTGTTGGTTCATAATCGTGGGAAAATAATTTAAAGGTCCCCCTCCTTATCCTCTTCCCCTCCCTTTATCCCTGAGGAGTGATACAAAGTCTGTTGACACTTTGTTAAGTGAAGG